AATTGGCTTTTTGAAGACCTGTAAAACCACAGGGCTGTGTCAATGCTTTGGGAAGCACGGCTGGCAGGCGGGAGCGTCGCTGCTGGGTGGAGGTGGGAGGCTGAGGCTGCGGGGCAGGACGGGACAGGCGTCAAAAAAGTGCTTACAAGGTGATGATAAGGGAGGTGACTTGGATTATTTTCTCCCGAGTAATACACTTCATTGAATAATGTTGATGGATTTGAAGAAAGCTGTTCATTGTGACAGCGGTCTCAGCGAGGCTACTGAGCCTCAGCTGACAAAACTACTCAGCTTTTAAAATAATAAATCAGATATTTGGGTACTGGGCTTGTATCTGATTATATCTAATTATAACTAATATCTATATATTGGATATCTATATCTATTTATAATATCCCCTGAATGACACTGCTTTAATAGTATTAATCTAATAATCTTACAGAAATACCTAATTCCAAAAATTCATTGATGAAGTTGCAGCTAGCATCAGCATGCAAAAATTAGGATCTTTATTTTTCCAGCATCAAGGCCTCATCTTCTTTACAGTTACAGTTTAGAGGCATATTGTATATGCTTAGATTAATAATACTCTAGCATAGAACAGAAAATTAGGTAACGGGGAAAATTAGGTCTCTCAATCAAGCCTTCAGTTCCTAAAGGCAGATGTTCCTGTCTGGGCACATTTAACATACAGTCAGGATAATAAGAGATCTGAAATGCTTTGGGATAATTTACGTGACTCTGAGTCATTGTTTTTAGAAAGTTCTTTGTTTTTAAACAGGCATGAAGATTTATGTAACACTGTTGCTAATCATTAAAACTGTTTTATGTATGTACAAATACAGCAATGCACATTTTATATATAAAAATATATAGCACTTAGATACTGGTATATAATTTAGGGGAAATTTTTCAACATTGAAAAGTAAAAATAGAAATTAAAATAACAATTGAACCACTTACCCCATTTTCAGGACTGAGAGAAATTATTTCTGCATCATTATATCAAATCGATCTCTATGAAATATAGTGAAGACTATTCCAGATTTACACACATAGGACAATTAAGTAAATGAGTGTTGCATGATTGTCGGAACAAAACAGGAAACGTCTGGAGAAATGCGAGTCATTAAAGAGAAGGTGAATAAATGCAGTTTGACCTAACTAGTCGTTTCAAGAAATTGGGTAAAGTAATTTCATCTACAACTTCTGTAGCATCATCTCTCCCGTTTCTTGCAAAAGGAGAGACTAAAACTATTGAGTGTCTGTATGTATACCTTCAGAGATTTCCTTAGAGATCGTTTAAATCCACGTCCTGTCAAGAGAGGCACAGTGTTTTATATCCTTGAGAACCTTTTGCAAATGATCTTTACTGCCAGTTCACCCTGCCAAAAATAATTAAGATACAGGAAAAGTGAAATGTGCTCCTCTGCCTTTGTTTTTTAAAGGTGAGGAGTGAGGTTCAAACTTGGCACTTCAACGTTTGCTCATTAAATAAGGGTGCTCTGAGAAGTCTTTGTTTGCCAATTACAGGCACTAGGATCACTGATGGAGAGCCTTAAACCTTTAAAGGCTGAGAAAGGCAAGAGCAGCATCTGATGCTTGCCAGCATGTCCACGTGTGTGCACATGCCTGCACACGTGCATCTCTGCACAGGGAATCTAACATGCTCCGGATGTTGTCGGCTCCCTGAGCTGAGACATCTCCACCAAACAAGGAGCTCATCCTGCTCACCTCTTTGTTCTGTCCTGTCTCTGTCGTATTTGCAACTCATGCAGTTACTCCAGCCTAAAGTTGGGTGGAGAAGAGCAAAAACAGGTAACTTGTATTTTTAAGGCAGATTAACGTCTTCTCGGTAGATCTTCCCAATCAGAGGACTCTT